TTAAATTAAATATCTAAGAAGAAATGTGCTAAATTCTTCATCCTTTCTTCAGATGTTTGTCCATTTGTTCCTGTTTTTGTCACATCCATTAAATTTTGCTTTTTTATGTCTTCAGAGAAATCACGTTTTTCTTCTAAATCCAGAAAATGTGTGGCTTGTTTCTCAGGAGCTCCGTGGACTTTGTGGCTCCCACCCCAGAGGGCTTCCCCCCCACTCCTGTGATTGTCCCCAGCTCACCAACCGACCTGGAGAAGGACCAGGGTGAGGAGTGGGGCCGGTCTGGTCCTGGTCTCGGTCTGGTCCTGGTCCTGGTCTGGGTTCAGGAGCTGAAGCTAAACGTGTCTCTCCTCTCAGGCCCTGAGTCTGGGGCTGGGTCCAGTCTGGGGTCTGGGTCCTGGTCAAGGTCTAGGTCCCGGTCCTGATCCTGGTCTGGGTCCAGGTCTGGTCCTGGTCCGGGTCCAGGAGCTGAAGCTAAACGTGTTTCTCCTTTCAGGCGCCGACGAGCCGATGGACACCTCGCTGCCTCCAGACAGCGAGAAGGACGAGCCAATGGAAACGGAGGCTGCCTTCTCCAAGCCCCACCCGCCTTCCGGGCCCCACCCAGCCTCCTCCACCCCCGTCTCCCAGAAACCTCCTGGGGTAGAGCTGGACCGGACCCCCTCCGTGCCCTCCCAGCCTGAGTTCTCCCATGTGTGTGCCTCTCTCTATCCAGCCCGTTTCTGGTCTTCCCACAAGGCGCCTCATGTAGCATGTAGCACATACCACGTAGCATGTAGCACATAGCATCTACAACGTAGCATGTAGCACATAACACTCAGCATGTAGCACATAACACTCAGCATGTAGCACAGCATGTAGCACATAACACGTAGCATATAGCACGTAGCAAATAGCACGTAGCAAATAGCATGTAGCACGTAGCATTAGATTAAATGAAAATATGCTACATTTGATCAAATTAGATTAAATTAAGATTTATTAAATTAATTCAATTGGATTAAATGAAAATATTTTACATTAAATTATATTAAATGATATTAAATTTAATTAAACTGGATTACGTTTGATGAAATTAGATTACATTTAAAGAAATACTTTTTAAATTGATTTTTTTTTTTAAAGCAATGGTTTATTTATCACTTTTTTACACACAAATTGAGCACATATTTCATATGTAACATGTTGGTTTTCTCCAGTTATTTTCTTTAGGTTTTTACCATTTTACCCATTTTAAAAGTGGGTTAATGACCTTTTGTTCAGGCTCTGAGATGAAACGGGAGGTTTATTAGAGGATAAAACTGCTTTGTGGTCTGTGCTCCTCAGGACGTGTTCGTCCCCACACAGAGCCCCGAGGCGCCTCCTCAGCCGGGGGCCAAACCGGCCTCACCGCCTCCCCAGCTCTCCGCCAACAGCCAGGGCCGGCGGACGGAGGAGGAGGAGCCGGAGGAGGACAGCCAGGCCACACAGATAGAGGAACCAGAGGAGGAGAAGGAGGAGGAGGAGAAGAAGAAAGAGGAGGAGGAGCCTAAGGCCTCAGAGGACAAACACAGCCTGGAGGCCACCAGGAGCCGAGCGGCGTCCGGCTCCCAGCCCGAGCCGGCCGGGACGCCTTCTGACGGCCTTGTGCAGGAGACGCCGTCCTCCTCCACCACCTCCTCCATCACCTCCTCCTCCACCTCCGCCACCACCTCCTTCTCCACGGCCTGCACTCTGCCCTCACAGTCGGGGGTTTCTCAGCCTTCTGCTGGCGTCAAGCTTCCTCTGGAAACGCCGGCGAGTCAGTCCAACCACGAAGCTGATCGGGAGGAGGAGGAGGAGGAGGAGAAGGAGGAGGAGGAAGAGGAGGAGCAGGAGGAGGTGGTGATGGAGGCGGAGAACACAGGAGGAGAGGCCTCAGGGCTGGCTCTGGTCCTCTCCCAGAGCCAGATGCTGTCCCCTGAGCCCATGGAGGAGGACGCCCTCACAGACGGCCAGAGGAACTCCCAGCTCCTGGAGGAGGACGGCGGAGGAGGAGGAGGAGCACAGCCGGGAGAAGGAGGAGGAGGAGGAGGAGGCGGTGGCTTACAGCCAGGAGAAGGAAGAGGAGCAGCAGAAAGTCCAAAGCTGGCTGGAGGAGGAGGCCCACAGCTGGCTGGAGGAGTAGGAGGATGCCCCCAGCTGGCTGGAGGAGGAAAAGGAGGAGAAGGGGAAAGAGGACGAGGAGGAGGAGGAGGAGGAGGAGGAGGAGGAGGAGGAGCACCCGCCTCCGCCTCCACCAACGGCCTCGCCTCTCAGAGCCGGGACGAAGAGGAGCAGGCGGCCGGGGCCGAACCAGAGGGGCTGGGAGACCGGAGCCTGGGTGACAGCTCGGGAGGTGAGGCCATTTTAGCTGTGTGTTAACTATGGGCTAGCTACAGGCTAACTATATGTTAACTACACATTAGAATGCTAACCTCATTCTAGCTGTACACTAGCTATGGGCTAACTATCCTACATAATACATGGTAACTATAGGTTAAATGTAAGTTAACTTCTGTCTTGCTACATGTTAACCATAGGCTAATTAAAGGTTAACTACACATTAACTGCATTCTAGCTGTTTGTTAATTATGGGCTAGCTACAGGCTAACTATAAACTAACTACACACCAAAATGCTAACCTCATTCTAGCTGTACGCTAACTATGGGCTAACTATCCTACACAATAAGATTACATGGTAACCATATGCTAACTGTAAGCTAAGTCCTCTCTTTCTACATGCTAACTAAAAATTAAATACAGATTAACTGTATTCTAGCTGTATGCTAATTATGGGCTACAGGCTAACTATGGGCTAACTAAACATTAAAATGCTAACCTCATCTAGCTTTACGTTAAGTACGGGCGAACTGTCCTACACAGTATGATTAAATGGTAACTATAGGTTAACTACAAGCTAACTCCTGTCTTTTTACAGGCTAACTACCGGCTAATTCAACATTATCTATTCATACACTGCTCAGTAACTGGGAAACATGCTCACAAACTACAACCAAAACAGCACACTGACCGCATGCTAACTTAACGTTAGCGAAATAAACTGCAAACTTGACCACAACTACACTGTAGTAACAAGCTAACTACCCTCTAACTACGTCATACTACACCCCAGCTACACACTAAACTCCCTAACTGCACCTTCTCGGCTCAGGAAGAGTTCTATTTTTTGTCTTCTTTGCTCCTTTAGCTGGTTATTTGTGAGCAGCGCAGACTAAATTTGGGCATCATTTTACGGGGTCAGCGTTAGCTCAGCGTTAGCTTAGCATGAACCCAAACACCATATCCTGGGAAGTCCCATCATGCCTTTTTGCCTGTCCTTTTTTCCCTCTGGCAGACATTTCCTTCCATTTCACGCTGCCTAAAGAAGGGGA